TATTTTAAAATGTAAAGGGAATTTTAAATGTCAAAAAAAATATATCACTGTATCATTGTAATCCATATTAACTTCCAATTTGATAATAATGTATTTTCTTAGCCATATATCATGGCAATTAACTGGACAACCTAACTCCTGCTCAATAAAAGTATTTCCTTCGATCAGATTTCTCCCTCCCTGCATCAATTTCACTAGATGTTCTCCTCTGAACTTGTACAACTCCTGACTTGTATTCCTTACTTCATTACTTCATATAGTTTTTGTCACTTCACATCTTTGTCTGCTATCCAGTAGAAGCAGCCTTAGTCTGAACATTTCAGTCTCGCTTGATTTTTCAGTGGTTTTAAGATTACTTCCCTTCCTTCAGAGAAAAAAGTATCAACTGCATTAATCCAGCATCAAGTGCACTTAACACATTACATCAGTCAGTCTCCTGAAGAACAAACATGAAATGTAATTCACGTTGCTCCCCTGGACACTGTTTTCGTTGTCATATCCAATGGCATGCTGGATGGGATACTGTTCAACTGGAAGTTTCACTAAACTGCTGTTGAACACTATTAAAATATTCTAATAGGTGTGACTTATTGACTGGAAGAGTCAGTAAACAAACGCAGTATAAGTGACAGTATGAAAAATAGAGTAACAGTAATTAGCAATGTGACTCCATGAGTAATAGGAAAATTGCTTTGACCCAGTTGATGATAGTAGCAACAAAATCTTAAAAAAAAAATAAATTAAAAATCTATCCCAAATAGAAGTGTTTTTTATTACGACTTGTACATTACCAAGACTTCTCAGGGTTGTTGACAACATTTATGGTTGCCACAGATCCTATTTCACTAGTATTCTAGTGCATCATGATTGGGAAACACAGTGGTTGCTGTGGTCCGCTCCATTCCTAACACCCAAAAGGCAGGGATAGAAAGACGAGCTGGCAGCATATTGTAGCACGTTGCGTCAGAAGCTACTTGGTATTGATCCGCAGGAAGTCACAGTCACACAGCAAGCCTCCAACAATTTTTGTCCCTTTGCAGAATACAAGCTCTTGATCTGGAAACCCTGCTTTCTTCTGGTTTGTCAAGTTGATACCACGATCCCTTCTGCTGCTTCAAGCACCGTGCAGAGTTTTGACAGGGCTAACGTTCCATTTCTGGTGTTCCGCGTGTAATTGCACAAAGGCGTATCAGATGGACAAAGGCACATCGATATCCTGCCTCAAACTGATGTGCTTCCCCATTTATCCCATGCTGCCCTAACTTCAGTGCCAACACAAACGTTTCATAGAGTGTGGATTAACGAGAGCAGAACAAAACCAAATCTGATCTGCCTGTGCATGCTTTTTGTCTTTTGGAATCAGACCACATACAATTTTCTACTTCTAATTAAAGAGGAATGATAAAATGCAGAAATCAGAGCTTTTTTAAACAAAAGTGGAATTATCCTTCAGTATGCACATGAAAAAAAATTTTTTTTTTTGATGAAAATACCATTCACTACACAAAAACCCCCTGCTAGCTGTTCTTCAATAGTAACATGATATGACCAAGAACAAGTTCTTGGTAAGTTCCGTAGAAAAACTTTGAGTTTATGTCTCCTTCCTTATCCTAGTAGTGTAGGCCTCAACAGGATCCAATGGGGGTCCCCCCTCAAAAAAAAAAAAAGAACACAAAACAAAACACAAAAAAATCAATATAAAAAATTGCAGGGGTCCTGATTGCTTGAACAACTGACAGGAAATGCCTTGGTTTAGGTGCAATAATAAAAGGTCTTAACAAATACTTGAACAGATGAGCAAAGAAAAAAAAATCACATAAAAGGAAGCAATATTGTCTGTGTATTGAGAGAGGCAATGAAGCTGTGATTGCAGTATGGCATCTAGTTGTAGGTTTTGCAAAAAAATATAAGGCTTGGAAAGGGAATGGAAAAAAATCTGAAGATTACACAATGTACAAAGAAATACTCAGCATAAGACTATTTTAGCTGAGAGAAGGTTAAAAAGTTATTTTGATCAAGCTACAAATATCCATAGCCAGTTTAGGATTTGGTTGCTCTTTAGTCCTCCAAGAAAAGTAGCAATCGGGAGACAAAATTTGGCAAATTCAGACTGCAGGTACAGGGCGTGTATTCAGCACTGGTTATAATTAACCACTGGAATAACTTAATAAGATGCCGTCTTAACTCTGCAGATCTAGATTAAATCACCTAGGAAGTGCTGTAGTTCAAAAAGAAACTATAGCTACCGGAGCAGGAAAGTCCTGGAGGAGCGGAGCGGAGCCCCCACCGCTGAGCAGCAGGCAACCCGACCGGAGGCTCCCCTCCGCGTCTGCAGGGCGCTCCGAGCCCGAGTGGCAGCGGGTCCCGCTCTCCCCCGTCCCCCGGCGGCAGCTCCTCCCTCTTGCCCAGAC